TCACGAGATAACTGGACTGACATCTACTTTGTTTAAATTTGTATTTTCTACGCCTGCTCGACATTCTCCACTGTTGTCGCAGCGTGGGTAAGGGTTGTATGCTTCTGGCCTGGTTGGTTGAGGTTGATATTGGCCGGATGTAGGTATGGGGCCTTCACGAGGAGGTAGCTGAGGAACAGGAAGGAACTGCGGAGGTGGCTGAGGAACAGGAAGGAATTGTGGAGGTGGCTGAGGAAAAGGAAGGAACTGTGGAGCTGGAGGTCGAACAGGAAGTGACAGCATAGGTGGAGGCGGAGGGGGAGGTGGTGGAGCACAACCTATCCTGCATGGTCCCATCTTCATATCAAAGACGGGAGATATCCTCGCTGTAAAGGGGAATGGATTCATATTGATATTACTGTGTTAGTGCTATTCTTCGTACGGTGAATGTAACATCCTCATTATTATCGTGACTATTATTACCATTCTTACAATTGTGATTTATTCAAAGGATTACATGTGATCTATGTCGGTGCTAACATTATTATAAATTACCGAATCCTTGAAAAATATATCATCAAATTAAATACCACTTACACTCGGGTTTTCCTTCTGTTTGCAAAGCCGTGAGGGAAACAGCCAGGAGGACCACTGCAGTAGCTTTTGTATTAAATAATATATTATTAGGAAAATATCATACTCTGATGAGTTATTTCATTTCATCTAGCTTTACATATTCATACAAAATAGACATACATGATTACACACATAATACCTGTTTCACACACACACATACACACGCAAACACACACACACATATGTATATATACATATATGTGTGTGTGTGTGTGTCCGTGTGTGTGTGTGTGTGTATGTGTGTGATCATTATGACTGAGACGCAGCAAGAAAGAAGAAAAGACTCGTCTCCTCTTACCCAAGTCCAACATGGTTATGCTGTACAACGTAGCTCAAGATCTTACCTACCTTAACAATATGTATATATAGATGGGAACTGTTTATAAAACATGGCTAGAAGTTATGACACATACCTTGATTTGGGTGAAACTATTATTTTTTTCTTATATGTGTAATAAATGAACACACACACAAGATATAATTGGAACCGGTCAAATACATCTCTTGTATTGTGAAGATAATTATTCTCTTTCATTCATATTTGTCAACATGAATACGGTTCATATACATATATATATATACGGTTGATTAGGAGGGGCATCCAATCAGGCAAGGGTGACTCTGTCATATAACCCCTCAATAGTGAATTGAGAAAGGCCTATGTCCTGCAGTGGAATGAAAAGCTGTTGAAAAAAATATATATATATATATGTAAATGTACATATATACATATATATATGTATATATATATAAGCGTGTGTATGTGTTTGTCTGTGTGTGTGTGTGCGTGTGTGTCTGTGTACATGTATGCATGTATGTGTGCGGGTGTGTCGTGAGTAAAAAATGTGTGGGTTTGTAGGGGTATATATATATAAATATATATATATATACACACACACGCATATATCTATATTTTTTTGTTTGTTTGTTCAACAGACATTTGTTCCACTGCAGGGTCTAGGCCTCTCCCAATTTATTAATTAGAGGTTATTTGGCAGTACCACCTTACCTAATTGGATGCCCTTCCTAATCAGTCGCGCTATATACACATATATATGTATATGTATATATATATATGTATACATATATATACATATATATATACATATATATATGAATGTATATCCATATAAAGGCATATGTATATAAACACTCATACGAACACACACACACACCCACTCAGGCATTTCAAGAAATTACATTATATGTTAACTTATATACAAATAGGACAATTTAAATGTCCTAACATAAGCCATTTCTCTCACTACACACACACAGATGTATAGGTGTTTATATATATATACATATATATATATACATACACATATACATATATAAATATA